TTAGAAACCTAAACAAGATCAAACCTTGGGTCATTGGGAAATCAGTGTTTCCTCTGTAAGTCAGCAGCCATCACTGGTGTTAGCACACCTGAAATCTTATAGGTGCCTCAGTCTAAACGTCAGATCTCAGATATTCTTCTCAAATGCCAGTGGTCAAAACTAGTCTTCACAATTGCTCATGTATGTGGGCCTGTTTATTAGCATAGACAACTGTTACATCTGGACAGCTAGCTGCCCTAGGTCCACAACCACAACCTTCAGCCACTCCCATAGCCTCAGAGAAGCTACACACCCTCACACTGCACTGTGGGCCAGTGTCTCCATTGCCTTCCTGCTGGCAATCCTGGAAAAGCGCTTCTGCTCAGATCCACTGGGTCTGTGCCTCCAGCCCTGTGGTTTCCAGGACAGATGGGGAATCTGTTGGGAGGAGGTGCTGGGCCACTGTACTGATGTCTCACTTTCTTATTGTTGTTCTCCTTGGCATTATTCTTCTTGATAAAGGTGGCCATGGGTTCCCCTCTCTTTCTTGTTCTCTCAGCATCTGATCCACATTGTTATCATCAAGAGAGCGGCTATGCTTTTCATTTTCTTCATTGCATCTTTCCACATTTTGTTGCTGCTGCCAGCTCTGGACAAACCCTGTTCCCACTGGGCATCAAGAGCCTGTCTCTGAGTCCATCCCTGCTTCTCTCTTAGCTCTAAACTTTCCAGTTTCAAATTCCTCTTATGACCAGACTAATCTGGAAACATGGTTTCAGCATATTGGAATTCAGCTTCAAAAGTTATGGTTTCTTGAATTTCTACTGCTCTGGCTGTTGGTCAGTTAACACCAACCCAGTGCTAACCCAGAATACACCTGTGCAGCCTTCTTTCCCAGAGGCTGAGCCCTTTGAGGCGTAGACAGGTGGGAATCAGAAGAATGGTCCTCTGTTTCCTCCCTGGTGGAGAGGAGTCAGAAACGGGGCTCTCGTCTCCCAGTCTCTTTCATGGAGGTGACATATATGGATTAGAATCCTGATGTCTTGAACTTCATTTCTTTGATGGAGTAGATATCAGAAGTGGGATCACTGGACACACACACACACACGCACATACACACACACACACACACACACACACACACACACACACACACACACACAGAAGGAGAGAGAGAAGAAGAAGAAGAAGAAGAAGAAGAAGAAGAAGAAGAAGAAGAAGAAGAAGAAGAAATGAGAGTACTGCTAGCCCTGGACAGTAGGCACTAAGCTGGCATGACTTTCCCAAATCCAGTTGGGCAGCCTGGCTTGAAGGTGCTGGCATTTCCAGCTCCCATGCTCCAGGGTCAAACTCTATTGATGCCTCAACAGCTGGGGGGGGGGGGGGGGGAGAGGGGGAGGAGGGGGAGGGTCCACAACTCAAATATATCATGTGATGAGAAGACGTTTGGCCCCAAGAAAAGAGCCTGGAAAAGCCCAGCTAGTTCTCACATCATCCCTGTCTTCCAGTGTGAACTATCTTTTGGCTGACGTTGGTGTGGATGGCTTCCTGGGAAAGTGAAAGTGACTTTGGCGTAAGTGATACATTCAGGCCTCTCTGTGTATTTGGGCCCGTGTACCTGCACATGTGTGGTGTGAATGTGTGCGTGTGTGTGTGTGTGTGTGTGTGTGTGTTGCTATTTGTGGTTCAGAATGAAGGACATCTTTGATTCCACTATTCTCACCAACATGGGCACTGAAACCCTTGTATTCAATTGAGCAACAAGCACTAGGCAAGAAGACCCTTCAGAAGGGAACACGAAGAGGTATCAAGATTTCTCACCAGCTCACTCACACTCACAAGAAATATTAAAAGTTCATCAGGCAGAAGGAAAACTATCCCAGATGAAACCAGTGAATAGAGTAAGAATAAAGATGCCAAAGGAAAAGGTAGATTAAGCTAAATAAATATGGACTGTTTTAAATAATATCTTGTGAAATTATCCTAGCCCACAATTACCAGAGAGGTGCTCTAATTATCCTCTGCTCCCTACTCTATACTCTGCTTCCCTGTTCCTCATAGCCCTTACCATCACCTAGATGTGTTATGTATTTTTCTATTTATCTGCTTAATCTCACCGGAATTAATATACAAGAAAGCTGGCTGCGTTTTGATAATTGCTGTAGCCTCAGATTCTTTCTCTTTTTCTTTCTTTCTTTCTTTCTTTCTTTCTTTCTTTCTTTCTTTCTTTCTTTTTTTCTTTCTTTCTTTCAAAATACATTTTATTGATTTTTTTTATAGAGAGGCAGGGAGAGGGATAGAGAGTTAGAAACATTAACCAGCTGCCTCCTGCACACTCCCCAGTGGGAATGTGCCCAGAACCTGGGACCCTTCAGTCTGCAGGCCCACGCTCTATCCACTGTGCCAAACCAGTTAGAGCTAGCCTCAGATTCTGAGACAAAGCATGGCAGATTGTTGGCACTAAGAAGACAGTTGGTGAATGAATGAATGAGTGAATGAATGAATGAATGAATGAGTGAGTGAGTGAGTGAACGACAGAAGGGGCTTCCTCTCCGGAAGAGGTGGCGGTCCACGCAGTCTCTTGGGCCGCTGTCAGGAAACGCTGCAGATCCACTGGGGTGGTCCCTACCCCTAGGTCTGGAGAGTCCGGGCTCCCTAATATCCAGGTTCCGGGTTTTCGCGCGCCCCACAATCCTGGGGCCGGCGGGCTCCTCGGGGCCCCGGTAGGCGGAGCCGGCGGCGGAGCGGGAGGAGCCGCGGGAGGACCGGCGGGCGCTGGGCGGGTAGCGGGGTGGCCGGGCTGCCGGGCGGCCGCCTTGGGTGGGCGGTACCCCGGCTGCACTGGGGCCTGCGCGGAGGCCACCGGTGGCGGGGGCAACTGCGGGGGCGCGCCCGAGGCTGGGGCGCCGGAGAGGTCGGGCTGCGGCCCAGGAGGGGGCCCGGGAGGACCTGGCCGCCGCCCCGGCCAAGCGCCTCCTCCCCGATGTGTCCCCGCCTCGGTGTGCGGGAAGCGGGCTCAGGGAGCCTCTCCCTTGGCGGCGCCCAGAGCCCGGCTCCCAGAGGTGCGGCGGGGACAGGCCGCGTTGGCTGATCCGATCTGGAGCAGCAGACCCGCCCGGGGCCCTTCTCCTTGGGAATTTGAAGAAGACCCACTTCCAGTCCAGAGGCCGACGGGAACGTTGGGCGTCTTTTGCAGAAGGATTGTTTTGCTTGGGAATGCGGTTTGTCTGTAGAAGGCTGGGAAGGAACGAAATCTGTTACCATTTCCTCCTCCAGACAGACACCCTCTGGAGCTGAAAGCCTCAGGCGCGAGCGCTCTCACGCCCGCATCTCCGGTCCTGCCGGCGACCGAGGCGGATCCGGTGAGTAGGAGGCCACCCTGCCCGTCCTCAGCCCGAGGGAGGCGTGTCTGGGAGGAGTGAGAAGGGGCATCTTCTGAAAGAAGCTTCTCTGTCATTGACTGTTTCATAAATTTATCCACTTTGGTAACAAGACATTTAATATATGTATATTCAGAAGCAGGCTATATATTCAGAAGCAGGCTATTGCCCACATGCTCCAATCCGCCTGATGCAGCCCCTTTCTCTGCACCAGTCACAGCTGAAAACAAGAGATGCTCATTCACCACAGACCTTTCCCCCACAAACTTCAAAAAGTTGGGTCGGCTTCCTTTCCAGGGAGCTAGGACTGATTTGGGGTTCCAGATACACTGCACCTGATCGCCGTGGAGCGATCTACCTGCTCAAATGACAGGGGCGGGGTGAGGCAGAGGGCCAATTCGAGTTTTGTTCTGTTTTTCCAAAATTGCCTGTTACAAACACTTCCGCAGTAGTCCTCAGTTGTACTCGAAGTACTGCTGCATTTCCTCCATTTGTAGGCATACTCCTTTCCCCAAATTGTAACATTTTTGAAACCAGGATACATCTTAACAGAGAGTTTAAAAGGACTTGCTAGCTGCTAGGCATCTATGTGGGCGTGTCTGTCACTACTTGCCCATGTGAAAATGCAGCTATACGATTATTCCATCATTTGAGATACTTGACATTAACCTTGAATTGAGATTTATTAATTGGTGTTTGTTTTTTGTTTTTAAGTCACTTTAGGAGTCCCTGGCCCAGTAGGTCACTTGGTTAAAGCATCATCCCGCCATGCCAAGTTTGTGGGTCCCATCCTCAGTGGTAGACAACCAATCTCTCTCTCTCTCTCTCTCTCTCTCTCTCTCTCTCTCTCTCTCTCTCAAAAAAAAAAAAAAAGAAGAAGAAGAAGAAGAAAAAATAACTTAAAAAGATGATGCTCCGCTGCAGCATTAAAGCAAAAGGTTTATAATAATGTTTACCAAAGGTTTATTGTTTGCCCGACATTATCTCAATTAATCAACTTTTCAACACTATGAAATACAATTAATATTTTATAGATGAAGAAACTGAAGCTCAGCTGAAGTGCCTTAGAGCTTTTAAGCGCAAGAGTCAGGATTCTAACCCAGGCTGTCTGATTTCAAATCTATATCCGGGCAGAAGATGCATGTGGCTTTGAAGGGGGGAGTCAGGGCAGGATCGGTGCATGTCTGTGTACCTTTGGCTGTTTGTGTGTGTGTATGGAGAACCGGGAGACAGCCACGTCCAAAAGCATTGATTATACTTCTTCCCACATGGATGCCAACTCTTTGTTTTTGGATCTTTTGCAGTTCTAAATATATTTCTGCAAGTTCTGGAATTCTGGCTGTATGAGGGTGCTCCTGAGTCCCTCCTCTCCTGCCTGTGTTCCTCTTGAAGAAGATAGAGGCTTACACTCAACCAGCTGCCCCCAGGGAGGCTGTACTTAAGAGAGGAGCCAGTGTTTCAGAGTTATCCAAGTCACATTAGCCTCTCTGAGCCCCAGGTTCTGGGGCTGCAGGAACATGCCAAAGCCTTAAGGACAGGGACTGTGACCAGAGGAGGACCACACAACTGTGCAGCCTCTCAGCAGAGGTTCTGGCCGTTTCCTCACAGGAAGTGGACAAGCTCAATCAGGTGGACATCGTTATGCTGCAGCAGCTCTTGATCACCTTGCCCGCTGAGGCCAGCACCTGGGTAAAGTTGCACCATCCGAAGAAGGCCAAGGAGGGGGTGCCCCTATGGGAGGATGTGACGAAGATGTTTGAAGGAGAAGGTAAGAATAGACTGATGAAGGGGGGAATGGATGGGGAGCTAGGAGATCTCATTTGTGTGTCAAAAGATAGGTACACTTCATTGTTCTGGTCTCGGGGAGAACCTTGGAGGGAAGCAGGTCTCTGAGGGTCATGCTTGTGGCTTTTGGGGAAGGGATAGCTGTGAGAGTTCTGGAGTTCTGGCTGTGGGATTGTTGCTTCCGGATCCCTCCTCTCCTGCCTTGCTGCTCCTCTTAAACAGTGGTTCTCATCCTTTCTAATGTCTCGACCCTTTAATACAGTTCCTCATGTTGTGGTCTTAGGCTCTACAGGTTGAGAACCGCTAGGAAGGTAGCCTAAGACCATCAGAAAACACAGATATTTACATTATGATTCATAACAGTAGCAAAATTACATCTATAAAGTAGCAACGAAAATAATTTTATGGTTGGGGTCACCACAACATGAGGAACTGTATTAAAGGGTCCCGGCATTAGGAAGGTTGAGAACTGCTCTAAACCCCTGGTTGGCAAACTGCTGCTCACGAGCCACATGCAGCTCTTTTGGCGAGTGTGGCTCGTTCACAAAATACCACGGCCTGGGCGAGTCTATTTGAAGAAGTGGTGTTAGAAGAAGTTTAAGTTTAAAAAATTTGGCTCTCAAAAGAAATTTCAGTCGTTGTACTGTTGATATTTGGCTCTGTTGACTAATGAGTTTGCCAACCACTGGACTAGAAGAATAGAGAGGCACACACTCAAACATACTCAACCAGCTGTCTCGCAAGCAGGCAGTACTTAACTATTGTGCTCTCAACACAGGCTCTTGGTGGCATGTGCTCCGTGCTGCTCCCATCTCCTGTCCTCAGTACTACGCAGGACAGGAAAACAGAACATAAGACTGTCCTCACCAGCGACTCTTGAGTGTGGACAGTAAAGTCAAAGCTTTTTGCACCCTTAAGCCTTCCCAATGGTTTTTCTTCACAATTTCAGTCATATTAGCCTCAAACCAATATCAGTTTTTGCTTTTCATCTTCTGCTGAGAGGGAAGAATGACATGCTTGATTACTCTTATTTTACCTTGAAATATAGGTTCATTGGGAAATACGTCCAAAATTACACATTATTTAGTGGTCAGGTCAGGATAGATAGATGGATAGAGGAATTTGTGTATTTCATGTGGTCTCTTAATTCATACCTTTAACACTGTAGCTTCAGTCAATATTTATTGTATCTATTTTAGCTGTGTCAGGCAGGAACTTTGCTAAGCACCTTGGCAGATGGAAAAAAGAATAATGACCTCTAATGCTAAATATTTTTTAAAATATGTTTTTATTGATTTCAGAGAGGAAAGTAAAGGGAGAGAGAATTGTTGATCAGCTCCCTCCTGCATGTCCCATACTAGGGATTGCACTCGTAACCTGGGTATGTGCCCTTGACTGGCATCGAACCTAGGCCCCTTCAGGTTCAATCAATCCACTGAGCCAAACCAGCCAGGGCACTAATTATTAATTGATGGAGACAGACACATACCCAGATCCCATACCCATAATAGAAGGTAATTTAGGAAAATGTAATGATAAAGTTTTTTTGGAAGACAAGAAATAGAAAACATTTTTTCCACTTGTGCTTATCTGAGAAATTTTCACAAAGCAGATAGCATTGAATTGGGCCTTGAAAGATGTCTACTTTTTTTGTAAAGTGTCAGAGAAAAGAGAAAATTACAGTCTGAGATTGATGTTCAAGACCAACAGACAGAGGATGGTGAATAGAGGAAACTAGTGCTGGAAAGACATGCTTCAGGTGGACAGTAGAATACCTGCAAGTCCATGGGGAGTGAACAAAGGAGTAGCTCGGTAGATCTGTGCTTATGGACCAGCATTGACTATTGGGAAACACAAATGCCCCAAAGAACACACTGCAGATGCTCCTCATTATGGAGCCTCCAGTATGATTGAGTCAGACCAAATGTCCCTCTTTGTGAATGTGTGGTGAGAGGAGCCATATTCAGCAGCTCTGCAGGCAGTTTTGGGGACTTTTGGGGAGTGCAAACCTTATGGCTCTTTTCCTTCCTCAGCTGTGCTATCTCAGGGTGCTGATGAGACCCAGGGAGAAAGTTTAAAGGATGAAGGGACTTCTGGGGCCCAGACAGCAGAATTCCAGGTGGGTTGGAATTTCCTCTTATTTTTTTGTTTTTGTTTTTTTGTTTTGTTTTGTTTTTTAAGGGCATAACACCCCTTTTCTTGGAGTGTGAGGTTGTTGAGGTTAATGAATTTAACCTAGGGAGCTCAGAGAATATTGCTTTTGTACAGAAAATGGCAATGGTGGTAGCAATTTATTTGCTCATAGAAGTTATACTTTCCTCCATGTAACTCTAACATTGTGTTACTAATTTCTAAGATAAGCCTCATTTTTTAAATTTATTTTTTTTAGTATTTATAACTGAAAAACAAACTTTGTAAATGAGAAGAAAGTTCTGACATTCTTTTATTATTTATATATATATTTAGTATATATTTTTATTGATTACAGAGAGGAAAGGGAGGAGAGAGAAACATCAATGATGAGAGAGAATCATTGAATGGCTGCCTCCAGCATACCCCACACTGAGGATTGAGCCTGCAACCTGGGCATGTTCCCTAACTGGGAATTGAATTGATCTCTGGTTCATAGGTCTGTGTTCAACCACTGAGCCAGACAGACCAGGCTGACATTCTTAATGTTGTACACATATCACGTGTGAACTTAATGAGGTGACTCTTAGTGTATTGGGAGCAGAAATCAAACTGCAGCCAAAGAATCAAGAAGTGAAGAAATGATCTGGCCACAGGTGCACACGTTAGCTGGGGACTTACAACAGGCTGTCACAATGGGTGTCCTCACCCCCAGTGGAAGGATAGGTGAGACAGAAGAAAATTGTTGAATAAACAGAAAAAGAAGATCAGTAAAGAGCAGATGTTACTCGAGAACATAAGAGGTTTAAGTGTATAGAACTTGGATTCTAAAATTAGTTGCTACAAGATTTGAACTTAATTCGTGAATTTACTTGCTTGGTGATCTGTAGCAATATTTTTTAGCTGTTTAAAATCCCAGTTTCCTCAGCCAATTCAGATGCTAATCCTTTATAGGATGGAAATGCATTCCAGAGTTAGAGAAATGTGGAAGTAATAATAGTCTAATTATCTAAAGGGTTATCTTTGCATTCCACTTTTTAGAATTCCTCACTTTCTGACACTTATTGAAACTGGTGGGATTTAAACTTAGCTCTGGGAAAAGATTAAAATAAAATAAACAAAATGCATTATCCTGGCCAGTTTTCTCAGTGGTTAGAGCATTAGCTTTCAGACCAAAAGGTCACAGGTCCGATTTACAGTCAAGGGCAAGTAACCTCGGTTGCAGGTTCGAACCCCAGTCCTATGTGGAAGGCAACTAGTCGATGTGTCTCACATCAATGTTCCTCTTTCTCTCCCTTCTCTCTCTCTTTTTCTCTCTCTCCCTCTCTCCTCTTCCTTACACTCTCTCTAAAAGTCAATGGAAAAAATATCCTCAGTGAGGATAAAATAAAAGGGAGGCATAATTTTCACATAGAATAAAACACTTAAGAAAGTGCATCACTCTTTTTGACATATGTATACACCATCTACTGCAATCAAGATCTAGAACATTTCCACCATCTCAGAAAGTTCCCTCATGCCCCTTACTCTGCTTTGCCTCCAGTAGTTAATACATGGGATCTCTGTTTATTTCTTACTTCAATGTGAATGGATTCTTGCACATTGAAAGGAAGTTAATTAGAAGAAATATTTTAATATCACTATTTGCCCTTTATAATAGAAATGTTATAATAGAAATGTTACCACATTCATGATCAACAGTGACAGATTGAAACAAACCTGTGCACTTGGCACCAGTGAGAGCTTTATATGAATTGCACATGTGTCAGTCCAATCAGTGGGTCTAAGGGACGGATGTACAGCTGGTCACTTAGCCTTTTATATGCTATACTAGAGGCCCAGTGCACGAAATTTGTGCTGGGGGGGGTGTCCCTCAGTCTGGCCTGCATCCTCTCCAATCTGGGACCCCTTGGGGTATGTCCAGCTGCCCTCAGGGATCAGGCCTAAATTGGCAGTTGGACATCTCTCTTATAATCCTGGACCACTGTTGGGAGCCATCAGAATTGAGACAAGCAACTCTGCCTTAAGAAAATACAGCTCCATCTTAGAATTAAGTTCCTTCTAGCAGAAGTTATGCAGTGCCCTGCTGGTTTGGCCAGAAGCTAAAGATTAACCTGCCGTTTAGCATCTCTGCAACTTCCCCTTCCTGATCCTCCCCCATAGCTAGCCCAGCCTTTGAATGTTACACCTTGGAATCTTACGCCGCCCTGGCAGTTAGCCAATCCTGTGTTGCCAGATACCTTACCACCTTGTCACTCAGTGCCTAAACCAATTATACACTGCCAAAGACCCCTCTGCATAGGCAACCCCGCCCCCCTTTGTTCCTGCTGTATATATACTGCCATTTAAAAAAATAAAGTTTGAGGCTTGATCAGAACTTTGTCTTGCCTCCATTTCTTCACGTCTCCTGTCCTCTATCATTCCCTTCTAGGTGCCTCTTCGCCCCCACGTTGATCTCCCGCTGGTCGGGACAGACCACTGGCTCCTAACTGCCTCTGCCTGCCTGCCTGATTGCCCCTAACCACCTCTGTATGCCTGCCTGATTGCCCCCTACTGCCCTCCCCTGCTGGCCTGATTGCCCACTAATTGCCCTTCCCTGCTGGCCTGATCACCCCCTAACTGTTTGCTCCCCTGCACCGGCCTGATTGCAGCCCTAACTACCTCTGCCTCAGCCCCCACCACCGTGGTTTTGTCTAGAAGGAAGTTGGACATCTGGAAGATGTCCGGTCGACCCTGTCTAATTAACATACTACCCTTTTGTTAGTATCTATAATATAATTTATAATGGTAGTATTTTATAATATGCAAGTACCAGAGTTTAATCAATATCTTATTATTAGACAATTAGAGGATTTTCTAAATAATCTATAGTAATAAAAGCATAATATGCTAATTAGACTGGCCATTCTTCTGGACAAAGTTGGGGCTGCAGGGAAGCCCGGGTCCTGGGTGCCAGTGCCAGCAGCTGGGGAAAGAAAGGCCTACTCTTGCACAAGTTTCATGCATTGGGCCTCTAGTAGGTAATAAAGCGCTAATATGCAAATAGTCGTCACACCCTCAAGCCATCACACCATAAGGGCTTAGGTACTCAACACTGGGGAGAGAGGAATGGGGACCAGCCAGGCTGTGGCCCAGGAGAGGGACAAGCTGCATACCTCATGGTGCCTGCAACCAAAGTAGGTGTCCTTGACCGGAAATGAATCTGGGATCTCTCGGTCTGCAGGCCAATGCTCTATCTATTGGGCCAAACTGTCTAGGGCAATTGCTCTTTGTCTTCATATTTAAAGTACTACCTTCTTAAATATAGCTGGATCTTGCTTGGTTAGTCCATTTACAGTAAACAGAATCATTGATATGGTAGATTTAAGTGCATATTTTTATTCTTTGTTTGCTGTTTGTCCCATCTATTCTTTGTTTCCTCTCTTCTGCTGTCTTTTGGATTAAATAGTGTTTTGTTGTGTTTTTGTGTTTTTTTTTTGTATTTTATTTTGTGTCCCTAATGGCTTTTTAGCTATTCTTCTTTGGTTTGTTTTTAGTGGTTGTTCTAGCCACTGCAATATGAAATTTTAAACATATCACAGCTGCTTTTAATTAATATTATACAGTTTCACATATAATATGAAAGTCTTATATTTCCATTTATTCTCTCCCATTCTTTATGTATTATCTCAATACATTTCACTTTACATGTTATAAGTCCCCCAATACATTGTTCTTATTTTAATTTTTAATAGTAAATTGTGTCATACAAATTAGAAAAGTTAAGAAAAGAAAATGAGCCTTTCATATGTGGACACATATTTACCAATTCTGGAACTGTTTTAAAAATATATGTTTTTATTTTATTTTTTAAAACATTTTTATTGAATTCAGAGAGGAAGGGATAGGGAGAGAGAGATAGAAACATCAGTGGTGAGAGAGAATCCTTGATTGACTGCCTTCTGCCCACCCCACACTGGGGATTGAGCCCCACAGTCAGGTATACACCCTGACTGGGAATCGAACCATTCATAGGTCAATGCTCACCACTGAGCCATGCTGGCTGGGCAAAAGCAATGTATTTTATATTCTAGGAACGGTTGACCTTCAAGGACATAACTGTGAACTTCACCCAGGAGGAGTGGGGTCAACTGACCCCTGCTCATCGGAATCTGTACCGAGAGGTGATGCTGGAGAACTACAGGAACTTGGTCTCAGTGGGTAAGGATGGGCTGTTTATCCAGAAACCTGCTCCTTACAGGAGAGCCATTACTTCTAAATTGTTAAATGTCATGGATTCCCTGGATCTTCGCCTTGGGTTTTCTCTTATTCCTGTAAAAATCAAGCCAGGCCATATCTGATTCTTTTTTTTATTATTATTATTAAAATATATTTTATTGTCTTTGTACAGAGAGGAAGGGAGAGAGATAGAGAGTTAGAAACATCGATGAGAGAGAGTCATCCATCAGCTGCCTCTTGCACACCCCCCACTGGGGATATGCCCGCAACCAAGGTACATGCCCTTGACCAGAATCGAACCCGGGTCCCTTAAGTCCCCAAGCTGACGCTCTATCCATTGAGTCAAACCGGTTTTGGCTGATTCTCCTTCTTTTACTTTGTAGAGCTGAAATAGAAAAACATGCTGAAGTGCCCCTTTCCATTTTCAGAAATCCTGGGACTGAAACTAATCCTTGGGATACCGTAGTTCTTAGGCCTCAATGTAAGCATTCATACTTTTTTTTTTTTTTTTTTTTTTTTTTGTACTGCATAAGCAGGATATGAATTTTCCAAACCTAGGGTGATTTTCCAGTTGGAGAAAGGAGAAGAGCCATGGATAACAGAAAAAGAAGGTCCAGGACATCCCAGTGCAGGTGAGCCAAGGCAGGTGGTACCTTTCCATATGTAAATAGTATATTTTTAAAAATTATGTTTTTTGTTTGTTCCTGGTATAATAATACAGTTGATTTTGTATATTGATCTTATAGCCAACCATCTTGTTTCATTTTGTTATTAATTCCAATAATTTGTTTGTACATTCTCTTGGGTTTTCTTTTTCAACTATAATAATGAAAAGAATAATAAAAATTGCAATGGTGTTCTTTCCCTACCTGTGGGTAAAATCTCAAAGATATCCCATAAATGGTCTAGTCCCTTTAAATAATAACAGTCTGATTTTAGTAAAATGTTTAGTTCAGTGAAATTTCATTCAAAGTTAAATCTTTTCTTCTTCCCTAGCTTGGACTTAAGGCCTGGATACTGAATTGGGGAGGGGGATATAGATAGCTTCTCTGTCTTTCCCTGTCTTCTCTTCCCCACTATTCAGGACCAGAATTGGGGGCATACAGAATGTAGACTATTCTTGCATCTATTCATTTAGAATTTGAACATACTAATGATCTTTATAAGAAGTTATACTTTTTAGGAATACAAAGTTGTCAGTTGAGATATTAGTAATGGGTATAACAAATTATCAAGTAAGAAAAACAGTCAGAATTTTATTATTTTTACTTTATTTTTGGTTGTTGTTAATCCTCACCTTAGGATATCTTTTCTATTGATTTTTAAAGAGTGTAAGGGAGGAGGAGGGGGGAGGGAGGGAGGGAGGGAGGGAGGGAGGGAGGGAGGGAGGGAAATATTGCTGTGAGAGAAAAAGAAAAAATATTGTTGAGAGAGAAAGAAATATTGTTGTGAGAGAGAAAGAAAGAAATATTGTGAGAGAAATATTGTTGTGAGAAAGAAATATTGTTGTGAGAGTTACTGGTTGCTTCCTGCAGGCCCCCTGACTGGGGCCAGGTATAAAGCCTGTAAATGAGGTCTGTGCCCTTGACCAGAATCGAACCCATGTCCCTGCAGTCCATGGGCCAAGAAAATCAGTCAAAATTTTAAAGGTTAAATGATATTTTCATAGAATATTGTAATAGCACAATATAGTCTGGGTTTCTTACAAGTCTTTTTTGTATAAATAATACTTTCAGGGACTAATTAATAAGGACAGGAAATAGAACAATGTGTAAGTTTTCAGTGTTCTTGTGAATTTTCTTAGTTCTAACATTATTTTTTGAATTAGTGTCTCGGGCTGCTGCTGGAGTGGGGAAGGAACATCTTTTTTATTTTCCTGCAATGGTTTTCTAAAAGTAGTTGTCAATTAAAAGACAGCTCAGAAATTTCATTATTTAATATTATTAGAAAGAGCAGGACTAAAATGTTCAAACTTTACTCTTTTTATAAAATCATACTTTTACTGTTTACTGATTCTTAATTTAATTTCCCGTAACCTCTCCAGGATGCATAAACATATTTAAATATAATGAAAATCTCATGTACTTTATATGTTTTATTATCTGAATCTCTATAGTAATAGAGTTTTCAAAGCATAAAGTATTTGAGTTATTTGTATTTTTTCCATTTCTTTCAGATGTGAAGAGTAAAACAGAAACTGGTACATTAACTGCAAAGAATGATATTTTACAGGAACAGTTATATCAAGGCATTATGATGGAAAGGTTCATGAGGGATGAGGTAATTGATTCCACATTGAAAAAAGTCTCCAAATATGAGTTAGAAAGGCATCAGGACACCAATGGTAGAGATGTAAGACAAGCCATCTTGCTCCACAAGAAGAGAGACCAAGAAACTATCAAATTTGGGGAAAATATTATGAATTCAAATGTTATTATAGATCAGAGGTACTGTAAATATGACACACTGAGAAAGAGGAACAAATACAAATTAGATCTGATTAGTCATCCAACAAGTTACATAAGAACAAAAACCTATGAATGTAATATATGTGAAAAAATCTTCAAGCAACCCATTCATCTTACTGAACACATGAGAATTCATACTGGTGAGAAACCTTTCAGATGTAAGGAATGTGGAAGGGCCTTTAGTCAAAGTGCATCTCTTAATACCCACCAGAGAATCCATACTGGTGAGAAACCTTTTGAATGTGAAGAATGTGGCAAAACCTTCAGACATCGCTCCTCTCTTAATCAGCACCACAGAACTCACACTGGAGAGAAACCTTATGTATGTGACAAATGTCAGAAAGCTTTCAGCCAGAACATTAGCTTGATCCAACATTTGAGAACTCATTCTGGAGAGAAACCCTTTACGTGCAATGAATGTGGGAAAACCTTTCGACAAATTAGACACCTAAGTGAACATATAAGAATTCATACTGGAGAGAAGCCCTATGCATGCACTGCATGTTGTAAAACCTTTAGTCATAGAGCGTATCTAACACATCATCAGAGAATCCATACTGGGGAGAGACCGTACAAATGTAAAGAATGTGGGAAAGCCTTTAGGCAGAGGATCCACCTTAGCAACCATAAAATTGTTCATACAGGAGTGAAAGCATATGAATGCACACGGTGTGGAAAAGCCTATAGACATGATTCATCCTTTAAGAAACATCAGAGACATCACACTGGAGAAAAACCTTATGAATGTAATGAATGTGGAAAAGCCTTCAGCTATAATTCATCACTTACTCGGCACCATGAAATACACAGGAGGAATGCCTTCAGAAATAATGTATAAAAATAAATTATAAAAAAAAATTATCCAACATGAGAACAAAAGCCAAGTTTAAATCAGTGGTTCTATGCTTTTAAATTTCAGAACTCTATGATTTATTGATATAATGATGTCAACTTCTAATTTTGACCATTGTGTAAATAAACACTTCATTGATAACTATCTATACTTCCATACAAAGTACTTAAAAATAAAGGATGGTCCTTCCAATTAAATTCAGCAATATGAAAAAAGTAACACTTTATTATTTTTCTGACTTCATGGTTGATTAGTAAATTATTATGCATGGGCATTCAGTGATTTACAAACCAGTATATGGGAACTACTGTTTAAAATGTCACCACCTCATATTTTAAATTAAAATTTAATTTTTAATTTTTTGTTAATCCTCACCTAAGGATATTTTATCCATTGTTTAGGGAGAGAATGGAAGAGAGAGGGAGAGACAAAGAGAGAAACATCGCAGTGAGAGAGACACATCTATTGGTTGCCTCCCACATGCTCCTGGGATAAGGGAGGAGGGGCAGGGATCAGCCTGCAACTAGCTCATGTAATCCAGGGCCTGCAATACATTCTAATATTGGACTGGGGATGAGTACTTTGGAAAACCCAGGCAGTTTTCTCTTCATTTTTTACCTATGCTTCTGTGTCTTCATTCTGGCTTTTGTTTGTTTGTTTGTTTGTTTTTAAAAGAAAACACCTCATTTCAAATCATGACTACCAGCAACTCCAGATTTTACATATACAGGCAGTCCTTGGGTTACATAGGACTCAAATTGTTTTGTGGTTACATTGCCATCTCCCATTTATAGTATTTTTTTTAAAAGTTCCATCATTTTAACGTACGTACATATGTGCTTTATGTTTTTTATTATTTACCGCAAGGTCAGGAATTACCTTTTCAATTATTTATTTATTTATTTATTTATTTTACTGTTTCACTTCATTACTGCTGTGTAAGTGCTCCATGTGAGTGATGTAGGTGCTAATGTAGGTGGGTTCCAACTTACTGTGAAAATCACGCAGTAGGAACGAATCTCCGAGGTAACCTGAGGACTGCCTATATTCAGGTTCTATCACCCAGAATAAAGCTGCCTTCTCTTTCTCATTTCTTATCTCAAAATCCTGAGGAAGGCTTCTTATTGGCCCAGCTAGGTCTGTGCCCACCTCTACTACAGTCAATTGTAGGCTTAAAATCAGCTTCTATGAGAATCATGTAGCTGGTATGGTGGTGGGAAGGAGGATTTAGAGGGGTGGGGAAAGAGAGTTACTGTTCATAGAACTCTACCCATTCTTCAGTGCCAATTCACCAGCTCACAAACTTAGAACTGGAAAGGATCTAGGAATTCACCTAACGGAAACTTAACTTTATAGATGAAGAAAAGGAGAATCTTCTTTAATTACTCATGTCTTTTTACTTGAGTCAAACCTGAGTTTGAGAATTTTTCCCTCTTACGTTTGTTAGCCTAGCTTTTAAACACCTATTATTAATGGCTGAACATAGCTGAGCTACTCTTTGCCATTCTAAAAGATTTACTTAGGTCTGCTGCCCAGGAAGTCTGCATAAGTTATATTTCAGAGCCTGCCCATTGACTTTGCCTTTGCCTTTTATCATTCACTCTATTTATTTCATAGGAACTTCTCCCTCCACTGATCATGGGGTTGTTCTTTCCTCAGAGCTGTGTCCTTAGACATATTCTCCTCTCAAGTTACGAATTTTGATTTTAACCAAATTCACCCAACACTTCTGACATCTATATTTTAGAAATACTTCCTGAGCTCCAGAACATTATATTCAACATCTCACTGGATATCTTCACTTGAATATCCCATAGTTCTCTCACTTTTTTTTTTTTTTAATAAAGTCTGAATTCCTTAATCCAGGAAGTGGGACCACTACCTACTTAATACTCCTGCTTAAACTTTTTTCTCCATTCATTACTTCTCCAATGTCAGCAGGTCCTATATATTGAATTGAGGACTTAAGTCTCTACTCCATTCCCATTGTCAGTACTTAATTAGACTTGTAGTACTTCCTAAATGCTTATATTTCCAATTGGTTTCATCTAGTCTGGAGTCATCTATCCTTCCCACTCCTGCCTGAGTGATCATTATAAAGCACGTATCTAATCAAACCACATCATTGTTTAAAATTCCTCAATGTTTTCTGAAGCATACTCAAGAAAGCATACTTTGCTTCAGCCATAAAGACCTTATGGCTGGCGGGTGTGGTTCAACGGTCGAGCTCAACCTATGAAACAAGAGGTCACAGTTCAATTCCTGGTCAGGGCACATGCAATAAAAACTGAAAGAAAAGCGAAGTGATGCCTTAAATAGGCTTGTGGTTTCTCAGGAAGGAGGCATGGGAGTGCATTTGAGAAGGGTACAAAACTTTCATTTTTTTTGCTCTAAGCATAATGATAACATGTCTGCTCAATAATTATTACACTTACCACCATTTTACATTTTAAAAACATAATTGTGTTACAGTTCCCAATAGAAAAGGTTAATTAAAAATTAAGTAGAAAAGAGAACTACATTGGTGAGACAAGCGCCAGCATCTTTACAAAGCGAGTTCGTGGTGGTTCTCTCCGCTGGGAAAGCAGGTGCGAGGTGCAGAGGGGGACGGGGCATTCAAGGCGGCCAAGCAAAGGCGCATCACTTAACGGACTGAGGCTCCGTGCCAGGGAGAAAGGAACATGCCCAGACCTTTCCCGATCACCGGCTCGACAGTCGCCCGGAAACCCCGCCAGAGGGGGCGCTTCTAGGTCAAGTGACAGCGCAGCTCCGCCACCGACCAATTCAACCACACGCGCGGCCAGAGGCGCGCCGGAGGGACCCGCCCCACGGGGACCGCGCCCTGGGGACCTCCACTCGGCGCCGCAGCGGGAGGGGCTCCGGGCGGATCCGCAGTCTCGCGAGAACGAGGACGGGGCGGCGCCGCTGAGGCCGCCGGGAGGGGGCGGGCCCTGGGCAGCCGCGGGGCAATCCGAGCGGGTCTCCGGGCCGCTTCGTGTGGATCCGGGAGGGAAAGGGCTGCTGCCTGACCTGCTCTTGCTGGCCGAGCGTGGAGCCCGGGAGCAGATCCGAGGCCGCAGCGGAGCCGAGTGGAGCCCGGGATCCGCAGGAGGACCCGAGGTGAGGGGCAGGCCGGCGGATGGGGGTGGCGGGCCGAGGGCTGCGTTTGGAGCTCAGGGGTCTGTCCCCGCGGGTGCCACGCCCCTCACCTTCCCCCCCAAGGGTGGCCGCGGCTCCCGGGAAGCGGTTTGTCTCATCTGCCCGCGCCGGCCAGGCTTCGGGGGGCTCTGGACCTTTCCCTTTGGGAAGCTCCTGCGATCCGCTGGGACCCCTTCCGGAGGGGCTGTCAGCCCTCGCTCCTCCAGGACGTTGTAGGAAGCGCTCGGAAATCGTTAGGGCATCATGCATGGGACTCGGGGAGACCGTGGTTTGGGACCAGTGGGAAGGTACCTCCTGGAGGCAAACGTTCTCAGAGCCCGTAAGTCCGGGCTGCTCCAGACAAGTAGGGTGCTAGGGTGAAGGCAGGGGCAGTTCTGCAAGCAGCACGAACCCAGAGAACGCTCTGGGAGGTCTCTGTCCGAGTGTCCGGACTGAGCTTGAGGCTGGAAAAGGAGACTGACCGCGGAGCTCCTGGAGACCTTTAAAAAAATTTTTTTTTCTTTTACTTGCAGGGAGCAGGGTTGGATCAAGTAGTTGCATCCAAGATATGGGGGAAATGAAGTCATGGAGGATTTGCCCCTGGAGAAAGGCAAGCGTTACCTAGGATCTGGGGTGGGCTACAGTTGGGCAGTGTGGGTCCGAGAGGAGGAAACGCCACCGTGCGAGGGAATGGTCAGGCGAGGAAGGACAAAAAGCCCCCATTCTGCCACAGCAAAGCCCAGAGTTGCTCGTCTGGATTCATTGGTGCAGACCTGGTGTTTCAGAGCTCCTCACTCCTCCCCCAGCTTTGTCATTTCAGCAGCCTGCCTCTCCCCGTGAGAGGAAGATCAAGTTCCAGGTGAGTAATTTACCACTCTCCTAAGGTTTAAGCTCATCTGTCAGAGGGAATTGACACACTGCCCCTTCCTTGGGAAGGGGAAGAAGGCCCACATTTGTTCAGTGCTAATCTATATATACTGCTTTATCACTCAGTCGTTTGAGTAGCCGAGCACAGTTGGAAGGAATACTCTAATTTTAAAGATGGATCAGTAGGCACGGGAAAACTTGCCCAAGACCAAATACTTCCTAAAGCAAGTACTATGTATGCTACTAAATATGACTGACCTAGTCAGGATCAGATTCAGAATCCAGATGTGTAGGCTCCCCAGACTCTTGATACAATGTTGGTGTTTCCCAAACATTTCAGTCACTTGCCACCTGATGATTTTGCTGTACCTGCGTACTCTCTGTATTTGTTATTCTCCTATTTTAATTTTGTACGTTTATTTAAAAATCAAACTTGTCCTAAGAAATACTACCCATGATATTATACATTTGATGGATGCTCTAGCAGCTTTACATGTATTCTGAGATGAATCTAAAAATATTGATCAACGTACCATGTGAAACCATCTCATGTCAAAAAGATACAGATTGCATTTTGGGACACAGTGCACTGCATCATCCTCTTGCTGCCATATTTTCTGTGTGGGAAAGTCTAAACAACCCATCTGAGTCTAAATTATCCATCCCAGTACATTGTTTTATTCTTTTAGATGAATAATTTCACACACAATGAACCTTGCTCCCCTCTTGTGTGTGTCTTTGCCACAAAACGTTTCACTTACCTGTTCAGAGATACTCTGTTCTCAGTGTTGCATGAAAAACAAGTAGAAAGTCCACACCTTAAACAGTACTATCCAATAGAGCGTCCTGTCATCAGGGGAAATGTTGTAAATCTGTGCCTTATAATGTGGTACCCACTAGCCGCATGTAGTTACTAAGCACTTAAAATGTGCCTAATGCAACTCAGAAAATGAGTTTTAAATTTTATTTAATTTTATTTAAGTTTAGTCATTTGTGGCTGGTGGGTACATATTGAACAAACTAGGTCTAGATATTTGAAATAAAATATTTTCAAGGTCAGTTGATTTGGATTTTGTGCCTTGTCCCTGGTTGTTGGGAAAACCCACAAGGATACCTGTTCATTGTCATTTAACTTTAGTTTCTTGGTGGAGAGGAAAGATACTCTCCAACCTTCAGGGATTTCATGCTCCAAATACATTATTCATTTTGACACTGTCATCATTTAGGCACATTTGCAGTTTCAGACACGTGCAAATATGCAACATCTGTGTTTTAATTCTATTTAAGTATACCATTTTCAAGGCATCAGTTCTTAAGCTTTAAGCCTAGGAATTGGTACATGCAGCACATTCGTTGCTTATTAGAATAGCAAGGAGGAAATGGCCCATAGTTATCTCAATTGACTTAAATTCTGTGTCAAAGTATCTTTTCTGGCACCCTGAATCAAATACTATTGGACTGGTCATATCTTGTTTTGTTTCCTGTCTATCCGGGGTTAGATATGTGAGGTTAGAAGAAAGGCTTAAAAAGAATATCTTCACAAGATAATTTGCCTACTTTCTTAAGGTTAAAAATACTTGAGAGACAAAACAGTCAAATGAGATGTGTGGTCTTTGTTTCCTGGTTTAAAGGAAAGCTATCCAAGACATTTTTAGGACAGTTGGGGAAATTTGAATAAGGATCATGATGTTAGGGTATTAACGATTATGTAAGATATGATAATAGTGTAGTTAATGTGGGAGAATATACATATTTATATTTGAAGTGTTAAGTTGTCTATAATGTACTTTAAAATAGTTCAGCCAAAAAAAAGTGCACATGAAAAAAACAAATGCAACAACATGTCAACAGTTGTTTATCTAATTGGTTTATATATGGCCATTCATTGTTTTGTTTCTCTGTATGTGAAATTTTTCATAGTAACATTTTTTAAAGTACCTGTCCTACAGTAGAATATTCAGATATTGCATGTGAAATACTTATCTCAGTCTAGCACACAGTAACTACACAATAAATAGCATTATTTACATAATTGATTATCCTACCTAAAAAAGAGTAGTATGCAAATTAACCATCACTCTACTACACCACAAGTCACGCCCACAAGCCAATCAGAGCGAGTATGCAAATAAACCCAACCAAGATGGCTACAGCCACAGAGAGGAGGGAGGCTTGGGTTTCCCAGGCAGTGGAGGAAGCCAAGCTTTCCCTCTGCCCTAGCCAGCCTAAGCCTCCACTCCAGGCTACAAAGTTTCAATTATAGAAGGTAAACAAATCCAAACAGAAATGGCTGCTGGCCACGGAGCAAGCAGGAGACTTGGCTCCGCTCCAGGCTACAAAATTTCAAATGTAGAAGGTAAATAAATTCCAGATACCAGAGCCTCCCCTTGGGTTGCCAGGGGGTGTGGCTGGCCTGCAAATCACCATAGGCCCCTCGCTCAGGTTGCCCCATGCCCCAAGGGAATCCCACCCTGATCCAGGACATCCTTCAGGGCAAACCAGCTAACCCCCACCCTTGCACCAGGCCTCTATCTTATCTAATAAAAGAGTAATATGCAGTAATATCAGGAAGGCAGGCAGGCAGAACAGTTGGGAGCCAGCAGTCCTGGATTGTGAGAGGAATGTCCGACTGCCCGGTTAGGCCCGATCCTGGTGCGATTGGGCCTAAACAGGCAGACGGACATTCCTAGAGAGGGTCCAGGTTGGAGAGGGTGCAGGCTGGGCTGAGGGACACCCCCCGACTCCTGTGCACGAATTTTGTGTACTAGGCCTCTAGTATTATTAATACTAATAGTGCTTATTGACAGATATTTTTCCATCATATGTTAATGTCTTGTGGAGGGAGAAAATAAAAATGTTAGGAGTATAAATCACAGTCAGTAAGGCTAAAATTAAACCCATAAAGAGCTTTCTGTCTGCCATTTCCTTAACATCTCAAGTATTAAAAAAAACAACTGGTTTCCACATGTCTCTGTGAATATTCTCTCATTACTTCATGCTATTACTTTGTGTCTGAGTAGATCTATTTACATCAATAGTCTTTAAATTTTAATCCTGCAAACTACATTTAAAAACAGTCATTGGAGAGCTGATTTTTCTCAGAAACAGTTTGTAATTGAGATTTATTTGCAGAGTCAAGGATTGTGTATTGATGGAATTATAGAAGTGATCCATAGTAAACTTTCAAACATCGTTCCAACATTACAAAGATCTGTATTCACTTAAAATAATGAAATAATGTCTCAAGTCAGTAGAATTTTTTTTAAAGAATAGTTTATAGCCAGACCAGTATGGTTCAGTGGTTGAGCGTTGACCTAGGAACCAGGAAGTTGGGGCACATGCTTGGGTTGCGTGCTCAATCCCCAGTAGGGGGTGTGCAAGAGGCAGCTGATCAATGATTTTCATCATTGATGTTTCTCTCCCTTCCTCTGAAATCAATAAAAATAGATTGAAAAAAAAAGAATAGTGTATTGATTTTTAGAGAGAGACAAAGAAAGAGGGAGAGACAGAGAGAAATATTGATGTGAGAAATAACATTGATTGGCTACCTTCCACATGCCTCCTACTGGGAATCAAGCCTGAAATCTGGGCATGTGCTCTGACCTGGAATCAACTGGCAACCTCCTGGTGCAGGGTCAACGTCCAACCAACTGTGCTACACCAGCTAGGGCTCAAGTCAGTAGAATTTTGAAGTAGAAAAGACAAAACTCAAATCTTTTTTTTTTTTTTAATTTCATTTAAATTCTTTATTGTTGAGAGCATTACATTTGTCTCCCTTTTCCTCCATTGATCCCTTTCCACCCACTCAAACTCAGATCTTTTAAGTGAAGAAATTGAGGCCAAAAAAAGTAATTTGCTTAAAATCACACATAATGTGTTAGTGCCAGCTTCAAGAGTAAAACCATTTTGCACCTAAAAAAATTTTTAAGTGTTCATATGTGGATGATACAAGGAGCCCGATTGTAAAATGTACCTGTACTACAGCTCTCTAGCATTACTAATTGATTGCAAAAAAAAAGGCTTCTTTAAGGAATGAAATAAATAGTCATAATTCTGTTTATTTATTTGGATAATGCATTTTTTTAACATGATGTGCAGGGCCTAACCCAATCCAGAGCTGTGACATGGCCGAGACTGAGGAAAAGGAGAAGGTGTCAGCAGAAGCCTCAGGGTTCTCGGATTTGAGTGACTCAGAATTTCTGGATCTGGAGGATACCCAAGAGTTGAGTGATTCACTTAGCAAGCCCGGCCCTTCTTCTGAACTCACCGGGAAGGATGGCAAGCTCATAAGCTTTCCAAAGTGGAAAAAGGGATTGGATGTCTTATCACCCATGGAGCGATTCCACCTTAAATATTTGTATGTGACTGACCTGTCTACTCAAAACTGGTGTGAACAGCAAATGGTATATGGAAAGGAACTTCCTGATTCCTTGGAACCTGAGAAGGCAGCTATTTTGGACACTGGTGCCAGTATCCACCTAGCTAGAGAACTAGAACTTCATGATCTTGTGACTATCTCCACCACCAGTAAAGAAGACGCGTGGGCAGTTAAGTTTCTGAATATGTTATCAATGATTCCTACCCTGCAGTCAGAAGGGCGCATCAGAGAGTTTCCAGTGTTCGGAGAAGTGGAGGGTGTGCTTCTTGTTGGAGTGATTGATGAGCTGCACTATACACCCAAGGGGGAACTGGAACTGGTTGAACTCAAGACACGCAGACGCCCTATGCTCCCTCTGGATGCTCAGAAAAAAAGAGACTGTTTGCAAGTCAGCCTATACAAATATATCTTTGATGCCATGGTACAAGGGAAAGTGACCACTGCTAGTCTAATCCACCACACAAAATTGCATCCAGAAAAGCCCCTGGGTCCTTCAGTGTTGAAGCATGCTCAACAGGGAGGCTTCTCTGTGACATCCTTGGGTGATCTCATGGAGCTGGTCATCTTGTCTCTAACATTGTCTGACCTTCCAGTCATTGATATTCTGAAGATTGAGTATATCCACCAAGAGACTGCCACTGTGCTGGGTTCAGAGATTGTGGCCTTTGAAGAGAAGGAGCTGAGAAGCAAAGTGCAGCACTATATGGCTTACTGGATGGGCCACCGAGAGCCTCAAGGGGTTGATGTGGAGGAGGCTTGGAAATGCCGGACATGCAGCTATGCAGATATCTGTGAGTGGAGGAAGGGTGGTGGGGTGCACAGCTCCTCGCTAGAGCCCCAAGCCAAAAAAGCCAGATGAACAGAAGGTATGCCTTAAGGAACTTTTATCCTTCCAGTCCCTGATATACTCACAAAGTAAAAGGGGGCCTGTCTTTGGCTTTCATATTTTCTCAACTTCTAACCACTCAAATCTAGGACCACTGCTCGGGTGAGTGGGAGAGATCTGGGATTATACTGTACCTGGAGCTTCACCATAGATTGCCAAGAAGACAGATGCTCATTATGACTGGAACAACAGGATCCTTCAGCAATCATTGCTTTCCTAAGAAGATTCTTCAGTTTCTATTAAGTCTCTTCCCTATTTTTTCTCAATCAAAGCTTTCTGTATTTTATATAATAAAATAAAAACTGTCCAGATTGGTTAACTGATGGGTAATTTGGTTGTTTTTTTTTTCTTCATAATCTCAATCCTTCATAGGTAACCACTATAAATAATGTGTATGCTGACCTTGACATTCTGGTTCATAGACTGACGTTCAACCACTGAGCCATCGGCTGGGCACTTTGTGGTTTCTTACAAAATAGTTGAGGCATATCAGGATCACTAATGATATTTCCTACAAATACTTCCCTAGTTTTCAGCATTGACATGTCTAAATAATTTTATCTCTCCCTTTTGAATTATGCCTCAGGAGTCTTAACCCCAAATTATGGACGTCTTGGATGCTTGTTCAACAAATGGGTAACTGAAAAGAGATGTGACAACAAAGCTATTTCTTGATTTTTTAAAACATGCTTCCTGAGCCAGAGAAAGGATTGAGTACCATAACTAGGACTAGGTTCAACTATTCATAATAGAAATTTCCAAAGCAATCGTGATTAAACAAAATAGAATTTTTTTTTCTTTCTCATAAAAAAGATAGTTTAGTTCTGATGTGGCACCCCATGCTGTTTGGAGTCCAAATTTCTTCTCTCTTATTTCTCTAACATCAGCAGATATCTTTCTACTTCATAGTCCAAAATGGCTGCCCAAGCTCCAATCACCCATTACATATTCAGTACAGAGCTGAAAAAGGAAAAGGGCATCATTTTAAGGGCACTTCCTAAATTTGTATCACTCCTTCCACTTCCATCTCACTGGCCAAAACTTGGTTACCTGATCATAGCTAGCTGCATATGTAAACTTTGTTCTGGGAAAGCATATTCCCAGATAAAAACTGGAAATTCTACGAACTATAAAAAAGGGAAAATGGATATTGAGTGACAACTTGCCATCTTTGCCCCACTGAGATTTTCAGGAACACAGCTTGCAATTTTTGCCTTGCTAAGGACCCTAAACCCTAGGGGGAAAAGAGGAAAGATGAACATGACTAGTCCTTAATTGGTCCCAACAACCCCATCCCAGGACCAAAATGTGTTAGAACATTTAGGTTAAGGCTCATAATTTTAAAAATCTGATGTCATCTGCTAGATGGATTCTGGACAACTCTTTCCCTGACTTGCATAATCTCTGGGGGAAAGCACAGATTGAAAGGGTCAAGTTTCAGAATTTGATACTCGCAAATCCATTGGAGGCCTGCAGGAGGCAGGTCCTCAAGAACATGAAATTCTTGGAGTCTTACCTAATGACTCTGGGCATCCTGTGGCACCCAGGTTTGAGAGGACCCAGCTAAGAAATTAGTTCCAGCCTTCCTGCATTATATATGGACAAGTATAGAATACAGACAAGTAATCAGGCAATGACAGAGCCATGTGCTAAGAGCTAGTATAAAGTGGTAGGGTGTTACAAGATGGTATAGGTTCACAAAAGGAAGTCTACACTGGACTTGTGAGAAACATTGTACTTACTAGATTATTAGTTTATTACAAAGGAATACATTATTTGTTCTTCTGTGATTGTGTTACTAGTATTTCACTCAGCATAATGTTTTCAAGTTTCATCCATGTTATAGCATGTGTCAGATCAATATTCAAAAATAAATTATATTTGTATAGTTGCAATAAAAAATCAAATGGAAAATTTAAAATAGTTTATAACATAAAAAAGATTAAATACTTAGGGATATTTTTAACCAAAAAATATGCAAGTGTTTTACACCAAAAACTAGAAAGCATTGCTGAGAGAATTAAAGCAGATTTAAATAAATGAGATCAGGCTCATGGTTCTCTTCAAATTGATCTATAGATTGAAGATGCTGAACCAGACAAGTTCCATAATGCACTTATGAGGATAAAACTATAGACAGTTTCACATTTATTCAGTATTCACAAGTAATTATTTAGCATCCATTAAGTGCCAGGCTTTGGAGGCAACGTCATGAACAAAACTAAAATTACACTTACAGCATTTCCAATGTTTTTGTGATTTTTTTTTCTCCACCACCAACCAATTCTCTGACACCAACTGAGTATCCTACAAGTCAGCTCAATTCTGATACTATCTACCTGGAAACTGTCAGATTATACAGGTAAAGTGCTCAGTCCTACAATTTCCCCTTCCCCCTCCATTTCAGATACTAATTGCAAGTCTAGGTTGTCATCTGTGCTTCTGACCTAGAGGCTATAAATTGGAGATTCTAGTGATCCCCTCCTCAGGTTCAACTAATTCAATAGAGTGGCTCACAGAACTCAGAGAAGCCTTTGGCTGTTCCAGTAGCAGGCAATAATATATGCAGATTTTCTGGTTTGGGGAAATGCTTTTGGCTATTCCAGCAGGCAATATGATTCAACCCTGCTGAATATAGAAGCCCATCAACCTTTTGAGGAGTTCTTGCATTAATTATGACATGATGGAATTAGCTTCCAGCAACCCATACTTCTGGGGATTAGTTTGTTAGATTGAAATAGGATGTAAAAACAGTTCTTATCAAATACAAATATGACAGATAGTTTTCATATATAGAAATCCAGCCAGAATAAAAATGATAGTATGCAGACAGACTCTATGCTTGGGCTAAAGATAACTTGCACTTGAATGTCCTGTTTGGATATTTGTGTTCCTGTGCTGACAAGTAAATATATGGGAAAATGAATCTTAGCTGTAATTAAGTTGGAACACTGTCTACAGATATCTCTCAGATGTAGTTTAAATGGGGTCAGAAGACTGGAGACATAAGAATATTCCTGAAGGGAACTGACATTGTGCCAGGTGATTAAGAGGAAAAAGATGTGAATGAAGGAAATATGGGGCTATAATAATAAGGCAATCTAGAAATTAGGTAGTAAAGATCTGATTTTAATCATTGTCCTCCAAATCTAGTTTTTCCTATGATATTTTCCTTTAGCTCACTTGTTTCTTGTTCCCCTTTCCATTAATCCAATCTTCGCAATGTCTCTCTTCATTCTGAATTAGCAAGGCACCGTTGTTGAGCAACCTTTGATTTCTTTTGTATCCTACTCACTGAACCTTACACCTATTTTACTGTTTTCCACAAGTCACAAGTCAAGTCATCTATTCTCATTACTGTCATTCACCTCCCATTTCCTTTTTAGAGTTTTATTCTTAAAGCTCAGGAGCAAGGCAAATATAGGATTTATTTCAAAATGAGAGATTAAGCTTGAAGTCATATAAATTGCTTTTATAACTATTGATAGGAAAAATTAACTAATAATGTTTCATTGTACTCATTTTTAGAAGCTGACTGCCCGTTTATTGATGAATCAGAGAAGCACCAGGAAAGCAAAGACAAGTTTTTGAATTCAGTTTTGTTCACGTTCAGTAAAATACTGACTATGGAGAGACTCCATAGTTATAATATGAGTACAGATCATATTGGAAAAAATCATATAAATGCAAGAAAGATATCATATAAATGTAAATCACATGAGAAGACTTTGCAGCCTACTTTAGATTTACTGAATTATAATAGATGTTATAACAGAGAAAACACTTATGAATGCAAGGACTGTGGGAAAGCCTTCAAGAAGAATTTTCATTTAATTAGACATGAAAAAAATCATACAAGAAAAAAACCCTTTGAATGCAATGACTGTGGGAAAGCCTATAGCAGGAAGGCACACCTTGCAACTCACCAGAAAATTCATAACGGAGAGAGACCCTTTGTATGTATGGATTGTGGGAAAGCTTTTATGCATAAAACACAGCTCATGGTCCACCAGAGACTTCACACTGGAGAGAAACCTTATGAATGTAGTCAGTGTGGGAAATCATTCATGTGGAACTCCTCCTTTACTCAACATGTAAAATCTCATACACTGGAGAACTCATTTGAATGTAAGGAATGTGGGAAAACCTTCAGGTATAGTTCATCCTTTTATAAACATTCTAGATTTCATACAGGAGAGAAACCCTACCATTGCATTGTATGCGGCAAAATCTTTGGCAACACATCTGTGCTTGTTACGCATCAAAGAATTCACACAGGAGAAAAACCTTATGGATGTATTGAATGTGGCAAAGCCTTCATCAAGAAGTCTCATCTCCTTAGACATCAGATAACTCACACAGGAGAAAAGCCCTATGAATGTAACAAATGTGGGAAAGCATTTTCCCAGAAGTCAAATCTTATTGTGCATCAGAAAATTCATAGGTAATATTCATCTTATGAATATGAGAAAGCCTTAGATATTAAATAAGTCTTTATTAAAAAGAGATTTCATGGTGAGGAGAAATCCAAGAATTAGAATGAATTTGGAAAGAGTAGATTTCCATAAAAAGATAATCCCAATCATATTCTGGAAGTGATAATAAACTTTTTACAGAAAAGGTCACAGAAATCATGAAATCATAAGTAATAGAGCATAAAGCATTGAAAGTAAGTATAAATTAAATAATCAAGTAATCAGTGAAGATTATATTTACCATCCCTGATTTATTTTTATAACAAATTATACATTTATGTATGTGTAGGTATAAAATATGTTTATATGTAATATTAAATTATATCATGTTTCTGCAGTATCACCATTTTTTCTTCCAATCCTAATAACATGCAAGGGAAAACGTGTTTAAAATGTAGTATGAATTTCAAGAATATATCCACTTGCTGGCACTTTTAATGGGCACAGCAGTGTTACTGAAACCCAGAGTCTCCTCTTTAGTTATAAAACTTGTTATAA